CTTTCATTCAGTGAAAAACAAATTAAGGTCCTAGTATTTCTTGCGTAAAAAATAAGATTATTTTTCCTGATTTTTAATATTTTAGATGGTTTAATGGTTTTTTCCAATACTTCAACATATTTTACAGCGTAGTAAGTAATCAAATCGCCGTTGCGCTGCCCGTCTCGTTGCTACGGACATTCCAAGTCTTTACGCTCGGTCTTAAAATTCCAGACATGGTCTACAATTCCCATTAAAGGACAAGACCAGTAAATGAGATGCAGACACTGGGGCTATCTCGCACATACATCGCATAAGAAACTGGCACCAAAACTTGGCAAGCATTCAGCATGAAATGTGGCCTGTGAAGCATGCTAGGGCCTGAATATATGCGGCGTGTGAAGCATGCTTAAGCCTGAATATATGCGGCCTGTGAAGCATGCTTAAGCCTGAATATATGCGGCGTATGAAGCATGCTTAGGCCTGAATATATGCGGCGTGTGAAGCATGCTTAGGCCTGAATATATGCGGCGTGTGAAGCATGCTTAGGCCTGAATATATGCGGCGTGTGAAGCATGCTTAGGCCTGAATATATGCGGCGTGTGAAGCATGCTTAGGCCTGAATATATGCGGTGTGTGAAGCATGCTTAGGCCTGAATAAATGCGGTGCGTGAAGCATAGTTAATAAATTTCTTTTGCTTACTGATATGTGACGTGCGTAACATGCTTAGACCTACGTAAATGCGGCGTGTGAAGCATGCTTAATATATTTCTTATGCCTACAGATATGTGGCGTATGAAGCATGTATAGACCTGCAAAAATGCGGCATGTGAAGCATGCTTAGGCCTACATAATAGTAGCGTGTGAAACATGCTTATGTTTGTATATTGTTATATTGTCCAAACTTGAAAAGAAAGTGTTATGGAAATCAATCATTGACGGCGAGAACCTACGAATCAGGAACCAATTAAATAATAGATAGATAAATACAAATGAACGGCAAAGAAAATTCTGCGATGAAGCTAAAAAATGCCAGCCAAGAATGCACAAAAGGAAAGGATAAGCTAACAATTTCGAGGCGAATATCATCTTTTTTTACAGCCCGCTTATTTTTGGGAGAGGGAGCGCGGGAAGCAATACTTCTTAGCGCGAGGAAACTGTCATCAAAATGCTAAGTTGCGGCGCCTCAAATTGAAGGAATTTCTCATGCCCCGCGGTACTGATAAACACGCTTGGGGTTTTGTGGGGATATTCCCGCTATTTATTTCAGATTGTGTTAAAAAATTGAAATTTTATGTAATATATTATATTTTGATATTTTGAATAATATTCCGCGAGTGATTGTTAGATAGATGGTTGAATTAAACTTGAAAAGTCTGATATAACTGATCAACACTCGTGGTGATTCTGAGGTGGATATATCTGCTATTTATTTCAGTTTGTAGTTGAAAATTATTATTTAAGGCAATTTTTAACGTGTACTGTGTTAAAATGACAACGATAGCTCAATTTGATTTAACTATTGTGATATTACAACAAGATTCGTACGCTGAGCGTGTGTTTTGGGTATATATCTGCAATTTCTTACAGTTTTATTTTTGAAGTTTTTATTCAAATTATTTTTTTTATAACTATCATATTAATTATTGAATTTAATATGGATTGTAGGAAACTATGAGAATTAATCGTACGCTGAGCGAGCGTTTGTGGGCATATTTTTGTTATTTATGACAGTTTAAATAATAATAATAATAAATAATAATTTTAATAATAAAAATAATAATAATAAATAACAATTATAATAATAAAAATAATAATAATAAATAATAATTATACGTTTATATTCATTCACTGTTATTATACTTTTATGTTAACTCACTGTTATTATACGGTTACGTTAATACACCATTATTTTACGTTGACATTAATACACCATTATTATACGTTTACGGTAATGCACCATCATAAAACTTTTACGTTAATACAACATTATCATACGTTAACGTTAATACACCATTGTTATACGTTTACGTTAATGCATCATTATAATATATTATAATGCATTAATTATATTATATATTATAATATATTATATTAATATATTATAATATGTTAATGCATCATTATATAATATTATCATTATAATATTACGTTAATGCATTATACTCGCCCCTATGGCTACACAGATTGGTATTTTATTCGAAAGTATTTGATTTTGAGCTACATTTTTCAACCTCGTTAAAGTCGTTAAAAATTCATGGAGACTAAAATCTTACAAATTTTCAGCTACTCTAAAGTCTTGATATTTTATATTAATGATAATTTATTGACAATTTATATGAATGCTGAGGGGTCCGAATAATTTTCAAGGTCATTAAAGTATTAGCAATTATTATAGTTACAAAGGCGCAATAAAATTTAGGCAATAGAAGTAAAGTAAAAGAACAAGGAGTGAAATGAAACAAAGAAAATTGAGTGAAATAAACAACAAGGAAATTTGGTTCATGAAAAATAATTAGTAAGTTTAAGTTTTTCGAGTGAAGAATGACATCAGAATTATATAAGTTTATTGGCTTGAATTTGAAGTGTCATTATGAAGGCGATGTAGTTTATTGCAGCCTGTCATTACCTTCAGAGCAGAGGTCATTAATTTCAGAGAATAGATCTTTGGTTTTTAGGTTAAGGTCATTACTTTTATAGTAGAGATAATGGCCATCAGAGCAGGGGTTAATGACTTCAGAGTGAAGGTAGTTAATTTCGAAGTAGAGTTTATTAACTTCAGAGTAGAAGTCATCACCTTCAGAGTAGAAGTCACTAACTTCAGAGTAGAAGTCATCACATTCAGAGTAGAGGTCATTAACTTCAGAGTAGAAGTCATCACATTCAGAGTAGAGTTCATTAACTTCAGAGTAGAAGTCATCACATTCAGAGTATAGGTCATTAACTTTGGAGTAGAAGTCATCACCTTCAGAGTAGAGGTCACTAACTATGGAGTAATGACCATAGAGATTGGGAAGTCTATACGTCTTGACTAGAGATAATTATAATTACATTCTGAGTAAAGGTCATTAAGTTTAGATTAGAGGTTAGATTAGATTAGACGTTTAGATTAGATTAGATTTTTACGCAATAATATTTTCTCGCTTAATGGATTTCCGGCAAGTTTGGTGTTTACCCAAATCAAGAAATTCATGTCGAAACGATACAGTGAGGTTGCTCCTGAGCGCGATAGTAGGAAAGTTATTTATTGTTCTTTTCCATACTTCGGCCCTGCGTCCGAAGCTATGAGTCAGCTGAAGTCAGCGGCGAGGGGAGGTGTCAGCTGAAGTCAGCGGCGAGGGGAGGCGTCAGCTGAAGTCAGCGGCGAGGGGAGGCGTCAGCTCAGTGGCCGCGGACTCTGAAAAATGTCGTCCACAAATTTGTTCTCGCGACCCTCAGAAATTGCCACTCTGGACCATGGCATTCTACATCTACCTCTATTTATTACTTCTACCTCTATATCTACTTCTATTTCCTACTTTTACCTCTTTATCTACTTCTATTTATTCCTTCTACATCTACTTCTATTTATTACTTCTACCTCTACATCTACGTCTATTTATTACTTCTACCTCTACATCTACTTTTATTTCCTACTTTTACCTCTTCATCTTCTTCTATTTATTACTTCTACCTCTACATCTACTTCTATTTATTTCTTCTATATCTACTTCTATTTATCACTTCTACCTCTACATCTCTTTCTATATATTATTTCTTTATCTACATCTACTTCTATTTATTACTTCTACCTCTACATCTACTCCTATTTCCTACTTTTACCTTTACATCTACTTCTATTTCCTAATTCTGCCTCTACATCCACTTTTATTTATTACTTCTACCTCTACATCTACTTTTATTTATTACTTCTACCTCTACATCTACTTCTATTTATTACTTCTACCTCTACATCTACTTCTATTTATTACGTGTACCTCTACATCTACTTCCATTTATTACTTCAACCTCTACATCTACTTATATTTCCTACTTTTACCTCTACATCTTCTTCTATTTATTACATCTACCTCTACATCTACTTCTATATCTACTTTCATGTATTAATTCTACCTCTACATCTACTATTTATTACTTCTACCTCAAAATCTACTTCTATTTATTACTTCTACCTCTACATCGTTTTCTACTTCTTACTTCTACCTCTACATCTACTTCAATTTATTACCTCTACCTTTACATCTACTTCTATTTACTTTTTCTACTTCTACTTCTACTTCTGTTTATTCCTTCTGCCTTCACATATTTCCAGTTTATTACTTATTCATCTACATCTACAAAGTAGAACAGGGCGTATTTACTTATAAATCCATTTTTGAAATGAATACACAAAACGTTTAACTCTACTGATTTCATTATCTTCTTGACTTTGTAATTTACTCTGACTTTCATTTTATTTATCAAATTAATTAGCATCAAAATCTCCATTAATTAATTTATTTATAACAATCTGAATAACATCAATAATAAATGAACATTACTTCCTCACTTCAATTCGGGCTTATTAATGATTATTACCCGCTTAAATTACGTTACTTTCACTAAAATAATTTAAGGCATCCTTTTGTCTATTAGCGAAGATCACGAAAAAATTATTAAATTATTTTATTTTTAAATTAATTGCATTAGTAATTTCAATGGAGTCAGTGTTAACTTAATGACAACAATTACGCCGTTGGGATTGAATAAATTAAAGATAATTAAAAAATTAGGTTTTACTGCAAATTTTCTCAATATCTATACACTGTCTTCCAGAAGTGTTAACGGAAACAATGTAGATAGTTCGAAATTATTGACTTAGTGAGAAATTATAAACTAAACAAGCAAACTAATTTTTTTAGTAATGTCAATCCAAATTGAGAGGAAAAATTCTAATATGTAAACTCTTCATTAAGTTAGTTAATGATAGTAACTTACAGAGCAAAATCTAAAGAGATAAAAGAAAATTGGAAGTGATAAAATGTATTCAAATTTTCTGCTGTTGTTGCTGCCCTTCCCAGTGCTGGCCACCATTGCACACGTACAGAACACAGGTGAGCGGCGGTAATTAAATATATTAATTAAGTTAATTAGTAATTACCATTAATCAATATATATTTTAAGCAAATCAATATAACTTAATTATTATCAGTAAATGAATCTATTTCTGCCTCAAGTAATGACGTTAAATGTATATATATACAATGTATATATAGCAATATTTAACGTTAAATGTATATATAGCATCGCTTAATTAATAGAGAAGAACTAATGCTCTGTTCGTATAAGCATATAAACAATATAATTTATCTTTAAAATATTTGTTACAGATCAGTATTTTTGTGTGTTTGAAGCCTGGCATCGTAAATAATTAGGGGCTGTTTCAGGGTGTATCCAGGATACTTATCGTATGGAGATATGTTACTGTGAAAGGGTGACACTTTTGGAATCACAAGACACTCAAAAAATAGGGGAAATTTAGGTTAATATATATGGTTGTTCATGTATCACATTAAAAAAGGGAATTGAAAGCAAGGTTTAAATTCGGTAAACGTAGATCACATACGCGGAGAGCCTAAAATTCCTAAATTCAAATTTAAAATTTCAAATGTGAGTACCGCACTGAATGTGAATGTGAGTACCGTGCTGAAAGTAAGTGTGAGTACCGCACTGAATGTGAATGTGAGTACAGTGCTGAAAGTAAGTGTGAGTACCGCACTGAATGTGAATGTGAGTACAGTGCTGAAAGTAAGTGTGAGTACCGTGCTGAATGTGAATTTGAGTACCGCGCTCTTTATGATATTAGACCATTACTTCTAATAAAGCTCATTATTTTGTTCGTAACTTTATATTACGGTAGTAGCGTATTATTTACCCGTTGTTTAAATTTTTTTAGCTGCGTAATTTCTCTCGCAGTCCATTATTTTGTTCGTTGCTTCTTATTTTTCATTAGTAATTTATTATTTTTTTGCAGCCTATCATTTTATTCCTAACGTTTATATATTGCTTATAGTCATCCTATATGCATTTTTACGTTCGGTTCTATTTTCCGTTACTCTTTTATTCACTTCAGATATAGTCAGTCCACAACTTAAACATACTAAACCTACAAAATGTGTCATTTTATTCTATCTTCCCATGCTCTCATTTTTTATTGTTATCCATATTCAAATTGTCTACTTGAAAAGTTCATCGAAGATAATTTTTTACTTTTTCTATTTCATAATTTTCTGTACTTGTTAGTAGTCGTTCATCCAAATTTTTTATATAAAAAATAATTTTACCAATTTCATTCATCGGATTCAATTTAATCAAGTTTTTTATTCATTCATTAACAAGACGTAATTTAATATTAATAAAATTCAAAATTTCCATAAACAAATTTTATTAATGAAAAATCCTTTTACATGTTGGTAATCGTTCTTCAAAAATTTTAATATAAAATAATTCCACAAATTTTGTTCATCGGATTTACTTTAATCATGTATTTATAATCATTCATTAGCAATACTTAATTTAATAATAATAAAATTCAAAATATCCATAAACAAATTTTATAAATGAAAAATTCGTATTACATGTACATAATTTTCTTATCTCGATCTCATTGTATCTTCAATAAACAAATTTTACTAATGAAAAATTCATATTACATGTACATAATTTTCTTATCTCGATCTCATGGTATCTTCAATAAACAAATTTTATAAATGAAAAATTCATATTACATGTACATTATATTATCTCGATCTCATGGTATCTTCAATAAACAAATTTTATAAATAAAAAATTCGTATTACATGTACATAATATTATCTCTATCTCATGGTATCTTCAATAAACAAATTTTATAAATGAAAAATTCGTATTACATGTACAAAATATTATCTGCATCTCATGGTTTCTTCATTGATCGGTAATTTGTAGCGCGCTAGGCACAGAAGCGCCGCTGCTTTACAGGCCTGCTAGGGGTCCAGGTGTGAGGCAGCCGTAGGCCTGGGCCGTAAAACAGCCTAAAGTGGCGGCCAATTCTTCCCAGACGCCGCTTATTTTCTTGACACATTGTTATGTTACTTTTATATTGTTTGCGTTCTTATGTTTCTTTTTAGCGCATTTTCTCATCTATGAAAAAATGCACTATTGTGCTCGCCATGTCCGTCTGTCTGTCTGTTCGTCCGTCCGTCTGTCCGTCCGTCCGTGACCTCACGTTTTCGTCGACGAGAAAATGCGCTCTCTGTCACTCACTGCAGTGAGTACTGAGTTATATTTTTTTATGTTGCCAATTTTGAATATGTTGCCCAATTGCATGTTTGACGAATTTTCAACTAAGGGGACATATAATAAAATTTTTTTTTGCTGCCAGGGTAGAAATGTTTTCGAATGTATTTTTTTTATTTTTGATGCTGTATGTAAGAAAAATATAAGTATCCCATTATTTGTAATTATTTTAGCTGTCTCTAAATTCTTGTTTTGAAGGATAAATCCATTTGAAATTGGCTTTGGCATATACTTCAGATAAAAATTCTCACAACTAAAATAATGAACAGTAAGCTCATATTTAATCTTGATGATATTTTGACTTCAGCAAATACCAAATATGTTATATACGTTTAAAACTTTATTTCGATGGGAACTTGATGCTGCTATTCATGTCTATAGGTCACAGTTCACTAACTGTTCATTGAAATATTTACTCATGCAACCAAAAAATTGGTTGTTGTTTGGTAATGCTCCCCATTTTCAGCAATGCAGTTTATTTCTGGCTGGAATTTTTCCCTTTAGAAACAACGCGCATTTTCTAAATTGGCAATTCCTGCTGTGAACACAGTACGCTGATTTCCATGTCTGGAATGCCGCCAATCAGATATTTGGAATCGATTAATTAGCAAGACATAGGAACCATGCCAACTTTTGGGATAATTTCCATAGTTTGCGAGCGGGAATGCGAGACGCGGTTATCAGGAATCCGGGAATCAACTCGGTGACCTTCGGGAATTGCTCAGTGAATGTATGCATGTCACGATGATTCCTTATGGAATGTTTAATCAATTAGAAGACGTATTTTTCATACAATATTTTTTATAATATTATTAATCATTCTGTAAATTGAAACTTAGAAGTTAAGCTCTTAGTTTGAAATGTTCCATGCTTACAATTTTTTTATGACGTTGAAACCTATAATTTTATTTATGTAAATATGAATAAAAGAAAACATAAATAGGTTGATGAGTAAACAATAAGGAGAACGTATAATAAGTCACACAAAATTTATCAGAAAATATGATAATAGAAATAGGACTATGAAGGTGAGATGTGAATTTTCTCAAATCTAGCTTCCGGATATATAGAATAAAAATTCATTAATATGAAGTAAAAAGAAAGTTACTGACGAAAAAGTTAGAAGAATTTTTCTATAATGGAACACAGAAATCCACTTTAATAAATCTACCTAACGAATTAAATTGCTTATATAAATTATAAAACCAACAGGAAGAATAAAATCCGCAGCAATGAAGCAAAACCCGAAGAACGAGCCGAAAACCGCTTGAAAATCTACACAAAAAAAACGCACAGCTGCCTGTCCGGACACCAAAAAACCGCTTGATTTAAGCAGTCAAAAAAGAGGGCTGGAAAGAGCTGGCAAGAAATTACCGCTTGGGGAGAAGTCGGAGGCTTAACGTGCATTTGACTGGCAGACTGACACGATTGTAGGGGAGTGTTGGTGCGGCTGAAGTGTGGCAGGTTAATGCTAGTGAAGAGGGGAGAAAAATTATTAATTAGAGGTAAATTCGTGGTAGAATTAATGAAGGTAAACCGGGGGAAATAAGTAATTAATTAGCAGTAAATTAGTGGTAGAATTAACGGTGGTAAATTGGGGGAAAAAAGCAATTAATTAGCGGTAAATTAGCTGTAAAATTAATGGTGATAAATTGGGGGAAATAAACAATAAATAAACGGCATATTAACGATGGAATTAACGAATGAAAATAAGATAAATAATTAATTAATTTACCATGAATTTGTGATAGAATGAATGGAGTTGAATTTTGTTAAGTAAATAATACGAGGAAATCAGCGGAAGTACTTACAAAAGTAAATAATGAAAAGTATATTAGTGCAGGTAAAGTAAGGTGAGTAATGAAATAGGAGCGCTGTATTACAGTGTTCATCATAAGCAGTATTGCAGAGCGTATCGTGTGAATTACTACAGTGGGAATCATGAGCAGAACTTATTCTATTCTTATTTATTTCTACTAAAATCTATGGGATACGTAGGGTATCCCATTGAGTTACGTAATGTATCCCATACATTTGAACTTTAAAAGAGTACAGTTGAACGATGTGAGTGCCGATCTCGGTCTTAGGTTTGGTCGTTGCTACGCTGCTGGAATTACAAGCAAACGTTTAGCAAGATTGTCGGTACAGCCTGAGGAGGTGCGGTTTGGGGCGAGAGAAAGGGGTGACTTAAACATAATATTTATTGGGGAAAATTCGATTAAAATCGTGTTAAATGCCTGATTTAACAGCGAATAAGATGATCATGTTGAATTTAATTTTTTTCAGCTTTCCAATGATCAAAAAAATTAATTTTGCAAGTGAAACATGTTTATAAAAATAAACTGCATTCAAAATCACAAAAAAGAATCATAAAATTTGAATACAATAATTCTCATGACGATGTGAAACTTCACAAGGGGAAGTAGCACATGGGGAACGAAAAAATTCAACTTGTAGGCAACTACAGGTAATTTTACAGATAATTTAACAAAGGGAAATGTACTAATTTCATCAAACGAAAATACAAAAAATCAAATTGAGTTGAAGATATAAATTTGAACAGAGGAATGTACAGAAATTTTATCAAGGGAATGTTCAAAAACTATTACAGAGTAAATGACAACTTTTAACAGCGGGAGAACAAAACATCAACACCGGCATGTACAAAAAGTTTAGTAGAAGGCTGGACGGAAGTTTCAGCAGTGGCAAAAACAGAAATTTTAACACAGGCTGGACCGGAAATGTGAACATATGCAGCTGGAGAAATATTAACAGAGGCTACTTCTATTTCACATTGTTATCAATAATCAAATTGTCTACTTATGCATTATTAAAATATCATCTCGAGGCCTAATTAGTAGGCATTCCAATTTATGTTTGGAATTCTAGGATTTTTCATTTATAAAAATTTTTTATGGAAATTTTGAATTTTATTATTATTAAATTACGTACTTTTAATAAATTAATAAAAACATAATTAAACTCCACTTGAATTACATAATAATAATAATATTATTATTATCTAACATATTATATTAACATAATATCATGCAAGTTCTAACAGAGGAAAGTGCAGCTACTTCAAGCGCTGGAAGAACTGAAATTTCGACAGAAAAAAATATTTGGTAAATTAATCTCACGTTATAGGGAAGTAGATCCTGGGGAAATGAGCAGACAAAGATCCTTTGCAACCTAAAGCGATCACTGGGGCGGCCTTTGAACGATCACGGCCTGCCTTTGGTGCATCAGTGAGCGCCTTTTCCTTCGTCAGGTTCATGGGATGGGAGCTCGGGGGAAATATTTAGGGATAAGTACGGACAATCAAGAGGGGTGGTTGCTAACTGGACATCGAATATATGAGAAAAGGAAATATTTATTAACGTGCACAATATTTACGTGTACAATAAGTACGGACAATCAAGAGGGGTGGTTGCTAACTGGACATCGAATATATGAGAAAAGGAAATATTTATTAACGTGTACAATATTTACGTGTACAATATGTATGGACAATCAAGAGGGGTGATTGCTAACTGGACATCGAATATAAGAAAAAAGGAAATTTATATTAACGTGTAAAATATTAACTTATACAATAAGTACGGACAATCAAGAGGGGTGATTGCTAACTGGACATCGAATATAAGAAAAAAGGAAATTTATATTAACGTGTAAAATATTAACTTATACAATAAGTACGGACTATCAAGAGGGGTGGTTGCTAACTGGACATCGATTATAAACGAAAATGAAATTTATATTAACGTGTACAATATTTACGTGTACAATAATTATGGACAATCAAGAGGGGTGGTTGCTAACTGGACATCGAATTTAAAAGAAAAGGAAATTTATATTAACGTGTACAATAAGTGCGGACAATCAAGAGGGGTTATTGCTAACTGCACATCGAATATATGAGAAAAAGAAATTTATATTGACGTGTACAAGAATTGTACATAATTCTGACATTATTTTCCAGCAATGTTATGAAGTATAATGATTGATGATGAATATTTAGGTTAAAAAACGACAAAAGAACAGTTGTTCTTTTGGATCTTTGTGGAAAACACTTCTTTCATCGTCAGAATTTCAATTTCCATTCCATGAACAAAAATTTAATCCAAAATGTAAGAATTAATTTTTTTTTGCTAAATTTCGCACGGCAATTATAAGATATTTCTCGCTTAAAATCTTTTTTCAGCTTTATGTTAAAAATTTTTAATACAATCAAATGTATTATGCGTTTTAGTTTTTAATACATTCAACATTATATATTTAATGTTTTAATACATTCAACATCATCCGTGCAATATTTCAATACATTCAACACAATGCATCTAATGTTTTATTTCACTCAATATGAATCATGCAATGTTTTAATATATTCAACATAATTCCCATATCGTTTAAATTTATTAAACATAATATAACGTCTTAATACACTCAACACAACAATCTTACGTCATAATACATTCAACATAATAATTTTACGTCTTAATACATTCAACATAATAATTTTACGTCTTAATACGTTCAACATAATAATCTTGCGTTCTAATACATTCAAGAAAACAATCTTACGTCTTAAAGATTCAACATAATATATGCAACGGCTTAATGCGTTCAACATAATACATGCAACGGCTTAATGCATTCAACATAATACATGCAACGGCTTAATGCATTCAACATAATACATGCAACGGCTTAATGCATTCAACATAATACATGCAACGTCTTAATGCATTCAACATAATACATGCAACAACTTAATCCATTCAACATAATATGTTTAAGGTTATAAAACATTCACCAGGCAAACCAGACGACCCAACATTGCCGCGCTTCCTGGAGAATGTCCCGAACATCACCCAGACGGTGGGCAGGGATGCGCTGCTGCACTGCAATGTTGACCAGCTCAAGAGTTATAAGGTATGTATCTTGCTCGCTTATATTTCTGATTTCTCATAATTAGAATTAATTATTTATACTTCATCAGCTCAAGATCGACAAGGTCAGCATCTTGCTCAGTTATATTTCTGATATCGTCTCAGAATTAGAATTAATTATTTTTAATTTATCAGTTCAAGACCTACAAGGTAGCTCTTGCTAATTATATTTCCTATATCTCATAATTAGAAATAATCATTTATACTTTTTCAGCTCAAGAGTTATAAGGTCAGTATGTTGTTCAATTATATTTCCTAAATCTGATAATTAGAAATAATTATTTATACTTTACCAGCTCAAGAGTTATAAGGTCTCTTTGTTGATAATTATATATCTGATATCTCATAATTAGAATTAATTATTTATACTTTATCAGCTCAAGAGTTACAAGGTCTGTATCTTGCTAATTATATTACTGATATCTCATAATTAGAATTAATTATTTATACTTTATCAGCTCAAGAGTTATAAGGTATGTATCTTGCTAATTATATTACTGATATCTCATAATTAGAATTAATTATTTATACTTTATCAGCTCAAGAGTTATAAGGTCTGTATCTTGCTAATTATATTACTGATATCTCATAATTAGAATTAATTATTTATACTTTATCAGCTCAAGAGTTATAAGGTCAGCATCTTGCTCAGTTATATTTCTGATATCGTCTCAGAATTAGAATTAATTATTTTTAATTTATCAGCTCAAGAGCTACAAGGTCTGTATCTTGCTAATTATATTTCCTAAATCTGATAATTAGAAATAATTATTTATACCTTACCAGCTCAAGAGTTATAAGGTCTCTATGTTGATAATTATATTTCTGATATCTCATAATTAGAGTTAATTATTTATACTTTATCAGCTTAAGAGTTACAAGGTCTGTATCTCAATTATTAGTATCTGAGATCGTCTCATAATTAGAATTAATCATTTATACATTATCAGCTCAAGAGTTACAAGGTCTGTATCTTAAATATTAGTTTCTGAGATCGTCTAATAAGTAGAAATAATCATTTATAATTTATCAGCTCAAGAGTTGCAAGGTCACTATCTTGCTCAATTATATTTTTGATATCTCATTATAAGAAATAATCATTTATACTTTATCAGCTCATGAGTTACAAGGTCTGTATCTTGCTAATTATATTACTGATTTTTCATAATTAGCATTAACTATTTATTCTTTATCAGCTCAAGAGTTACAAGGTCTGTATCTTGCTCAATTATATTACTGATATCAAAATTAGAATTAATTATTTATGCTTTAGATATTAAAGAGAGTCATTGTGTTAGTGTCTCCTAACTCTGGCCCTGATATTGTACATAGATTCTTCAATATTAAATTTATCTCAACAAATTCCTCTCAAAATTAATATTACTCGGCAAATACTTGAAGAGATTTCCCCTATTATTATAAAAGTATTGGGAATTTCCCTATTACCATACAAATAATTGTGAATTTCCCTATTAATATACAAATATTTGGGAATTTCCCAATATTTGGGCCCGAGACATATATTTATATCCCATGGGCATATGCTATATTTATTGTGAAATATTCATTCTCTATCTTTCGAACTATTACTGTAATCTAACATAACATAACTATTTAAACATAACTATTTAAAATTCTTAAATGTTTTCACTATTCTCCCAATTGATATATTTAATCCATTTTACATAAACTTCATGAAAAATAATTGCTGTTTTCTAAAAATGAACATTCTGCCTCATAAAAATTCAAGTCGCCATCATAACTGAGTGTCTCCGTTTATTTAATTAGCTGTTAGCAGAAAATTTCGCTTGCTGGTCTTGGCAGCGACGCAACGAACGTTGAAAAAAACGTAAAGATTAATTAATGAATTTCTGGGAACACTTGTTGGATGTCCTGGAACTATTCCAAGTCTCGCCTCCGTGCCAAGGTCTCCCGCTGCCGGGAATTCGATGGCCTGGAATTGGAATAAGAATTTAATTTTTTAATATTCACTGCGATTATCGAAAATTTGGTTTGAATATATTTTGATGGAACAAAAGAAGTCTCCAGAAAATATTTATAGTATTAAAATAGTGTCAAAAAATTGCCTTTCGCATTTGATGCAACTACGGAAATGGTTTGAAATGAGAAATAGAGTTCGTTAAAATTTTATTTTATTTTGGATCGATTATTGTAATTGTATTGATAATTGTTGAATGGTATCTGTATCTAGAGGCTGGGTAAATGTTACTTCCAAGTAAAGATTGTTCTTAATCTTAGGGACTCTTGAACGGTAAGCGTTTCAACGGCTATGAGTATAACTATTCTGATCTACTTTTAAAATATGCAAGATGTTCGCGATATGAAGTTCGTCGTACTTGATTAAAAAAATCCACGCATGAGATTCTAAATTCCTGGACCGATTGGGAACGTTCCAAGAGTCATAACTGGCGTTCCAGACAATCGATATTTTTTGTCCCAGACAGGAGGCGTTGCTGTACGAAGACCGTCGTGTTTACTTGACACAGACAGTTTTTTCCTGTAACCCTGAATGCAAACGTTACCGTACTCAAGTAAGCAGCGATTTTTGGATAAATAGTCGGCGTTCCTCTCCAGAAATTGTGTTGGTAGCTGGAAAATTTGGTCCTGCTCCATGAGAGGCAGCGTTCCAGCTCCCACAGAGGCAGCGTTCCAGCTCCCACAGAGGCAGCGTTCCAGCCCCCATAGTGGCACCGTTCCAGCTCCTATAGAGGCAGCGTTCCAGCCCCCATAGAGGCAGCGTTCCAGCCCTCATAGAGGCAGCGTTCCAGCTCCTATAGAGGCAGCGTTCCAGCTCCTATAGAGGCAGCGTTCCAGCCCCCGTAGAGGCAGCGTTCCAGCTCCTATAGAGGCAGCGTTCCAGCATCCAGGCCTTCTCGAGGCAGCGTTCCAGGTCTTCTCGAGGCAGCGTTCCAGGTCTTCTCGAGGCAGCGTTCCAGGTCTTCTCGAGGCAGCGTTCCTGATGTAGCCCCTCTCAGGCCCCGCCGTTCATCTCAGGCTTGCACTTCCATAAAGATAATTCCAGGCGCTCCAGCGGCCAGAAAATCGAACACTTAAATGATCTTAGGAAGCCACTCAATGGGCCTCTTCCTCTACTGATCTCTCTTTCCTCTCTTCGCATTACCTAAATACTTTTCATCACTGTCAATGTTTTCTTGTACTGCCTCCTTTTCTCTATTGCTCTAAATTTCACCCTCGTTCGTTGTCTATGGATATATTTTAATCTCTTCTTATCTCAAATCACTTTCATAAATATTAAGCACATCAAAAATTAATTCACGTTTTCAAACTCGATCTTTTCTCCCTACCAATATAATATTTAAAAATTGCGGTATATGTCAAAAATTAAAAATCTTTCTCAATTTATAACTCATTTTTATCAAAAACCTTAAATTGATTTTTTGGTAACGTCCCTTCTGGCCATACACTTTTTTTTCACCTTAATCCCACTTTTGGTTCATTTCAACTCGCTTGATCCTTATTCAATTTAAACGAATAAGGACGCGCAATTTATGTACCGATTCGTATCCATTTTATTCGAACTCAGAAATGTTCAACATTAGTAAAAAACGTACCATATAAGTGGAAAGCCACGAGGCATGACATTTTATCCTTGTGAAAATTGAATTGAAAACATTAGGATAACACTTTTATGAAGGAATTTTTTCAGAAAAATTGTAATAGATGTTTGAAATTAGTCAAGAGAGATATAACTTTATCTCACAAAAATCTACGGAAAAGTTTTGAAAAATGTTGTGATGAGATAACTTTTGAAAAAATTGATTAGTTGTTTTGGACAAGTCATGAGCTACGTAACCTTTTCCTCACAAAAACAATGAAATTATTCTATGGCTGAAGTTTTTAATAAAGTTAATGAGACCTTTGGAATTATATCAAAACCATAAGAACCGGGCGGGCAAGAGTCATGTTTCACATCGAAGTTTTCTATAACTTATCTTCAGGTCTCGCGTGGCGGCAAACTTTCTGGCAATGAAGCTCCTGGGGAACGATGGGGTCTGACTTATATTTCTTGCCTTATTATTTAGTTAGATATTTCATTTCATACGAAATTGTATCAAATAAATCCAGTACCATGTACTGCAAGTACAGGGTACTGCAGTAAATCTATGGTATATTGTTGGTATTGAAATCTATGTTGCTCTATGGTATATTTGATACACTATCTATCTAGATTTGATACACGATGATATATTTGATACACGCTATAATCTATCTATGTTGCTCGATTATTTATTTGATACGCAATTATATCAAATAAATCCAGTATCATGTATTATATTGAGTATCTATGTTGGTCGATGATTTATTTGATACGCAATTAAATCAAATAAATTCAGTATTATGTAGAACAGGTAAATTAAGTAATCTATTTTGCGCGAACTTATTGTTATGCATTATTACACCTTGAATTTATTGTTACATTTAATATATTGAACTTAAGGTCAGCGCATGTACAGTTTATTATAACAAAAAGACGCAATGGTTGAAAGAAATTAGTCGCGCGAAGTCAAACGTGCAGAGAGTATCGTTTTTGCACAATTAAAACTGAATGACTTTTTCAATGATGATTTCCTTAAACGTTAATTTATATGAAATATTTCGTAAAACACTCACACATCCTAAAACATTCATTCTAATTTCATTCACTTCATATATATGAAGAAATAAGACGTATGAATGATTGGTATCATTTGTGAGATTTCCTACTTTTTTGATGTGTGTTGATTCTGTTCAATATTTCATGATTACTTGAGAAATATTTCCCCATTCTCTGTTTCGATTAGTCATGGTTACAAAATACTTTCGCTCTGTGTGTGTTATTTTTCATCTAGAGCCCAATAACACTAATATTCGTTCCGAAGTTGATCTCTCTCTTCTCTGCTATGTTAATATTTTATACTTTACTGCCATCTCTCTCCCTTCCCCTGTTGCCTAACCTCAGCCATCTTCGCTGTATGCCGGTCACGCGCGAGCTGGCCGGCCAGACGATTTATTAGCCGTCTTGAATTTATGAATGACACTTGCGATGTTTGGAAGACTCTCTTGAATTTATGAATGACACTTGCGATGTTTGGAAGAAGACTCTCTCTTGAATTTATGAATGACACTTACGATGTTTGGAACACTCTCTTGAATTTATGAATGACACTTGCGTTGTTTGGAAGACTCTCTTAAATTTATGAAGGACACTTGCGATGTTTGGAAGACTCTCTTGAATTTATGAATGAAACTTGCCATGTTTGCAAGACTCTCTTGAATTTATGAATGACACTTACGATGTTCGGAACACTCTCTTGAATTTATGAATGACACTTGTGATGTTTGGAAGATGTTCGTGAATTAATGAATGACACTTGCGATGGTTGGAAGATTCTCGTGTATTTATGAATGACACTTGCGATGTTCGGAGGACTCTCTTGAATTTATCAACGACACTTGCAATATTTGGAAAACTCTTGAATTCATGAATGATTATTGCGATGTTTGTAAAACTCTCTTGAATTTATGAATGACTTTTACAAGGTTCTGAAAGACTCTCTTGAATTTACGAATTGCATTGCCAGCGCTAGAAAGTTTTCACCGAATTTATGACTGACATTGTACGACGCTCGGTGGCCTGCTCTGTGTAGTTTCACAATCTTAGCTAATTCCTTAGATTTCGTACAGGAAACTTTCAATATCCAAAATAAATCTTCAACAAGTAAATGATACTTTTTGTGATTAAAAAGTCCTAAATTATATAATAGAGCTACTATGAAACTACTTGAGTTTTCAATTAAATGAAATAACTGAACACTTAAATGACTCACTGGTATTAACTAACTAAATTAGACTAGTGCACAAAAATATGGAATTATAACAATTAATTTTTGCAAAATTTTCGTGTTCTTTAGTCTGCTTTGAATTTGTAACTTTATTTTCTTTAAATACGATTCCCCAGAATTCTTGAATACCTATTGCAAATTTGAAAGAAAAAACTTGCAACTATAAATTTCTTTAAACATTTGATATTTACAGGAAGAATTTGCGGGGTTAAACTATTGAACCCTAAGGAATTTAGGGCCCTTTTTTCATTAGATATAAAAAAAATTACAAAAACCACTATTGCTAGAGCAAAAAAATATTTTGTATTTTTAGTAAACACAACAAAGATTGTTGACGTTCTGCTGCAAGTGTTTAGGTTATTTATTTTTTTCTTAGAATTTGTTCCAATGAAGATATATAAGTGACTATTGACTACGGTAATTCTGAAGAACTACTTTTACTTCACTGTATTTAACTAACACTGCACCGTTTGTTGCATCAAAATATACTATTAGCGACATTTTAAATGTGGTATATTTCACTTCTTGTCTCAATTCTATTGTTTTTTTTCGTACCCAACATTATCTCAACAATAAAAGGTGGACACAAAAAAGTCGAAACATTTTTCTGTCAATCTGGATAATCGATTTTTCTAGAATTTACGATAAATTCTTCATTTTTACCATCTCTTCCTGTTCTTTCATTAATGCAGTCAAAAAGAATACTTTTAAAATATCTGAAATTCATCGACATTTCTGCGGAACAAATTTCGGACAATCTGTAAATATTGCGGATTTTTGAACGAGTGTTTTGAGTCTGATAATTGGCAGGCACTTGGAATCTCTACGCTGCTGTTAAATCCCCTTCAATTATTCCTTAATGATTGGCCCGCCGGATTTGTGATCCAAATCCACTGAGGGCAAATTTTTCGAACGATTTTAAACTTAATCAATCAAAAAGTTTAATTTAGTTTTAAATAAAATAGTTAAAAATAATTAGGATACGAAAAATCCATGTCATATAATGAGGTAATATAGTCATTATAATTGACGCAAAAGACTGTATTAAGCGATATAAAGTAAAGAGAATAATTAATCAGAATTGATACGGCTCAGATTGAACCAGCATTGAATGCATCAAAATATACGTACAAATACAATATCGATTTAATTCGAGATCTCACGCCAAATAATTTATTACTTCAAAATGAAGATCAGTTATTCTGATTATTTGTTCTGAATAATTTACTGAAAGATTTAAAATCACACTTTATTAAAATTATTTATAGTGCGTTACTTATTTATTATAGTAGTTTTGATTCTAGTACTTGGATAATTTTAATTGAGAATATTTAATATAATTTAACTTAATATGATTTCTAAAATTTGTACTTCTCGTAAATTTATCATAATAAGAACACATGATTTCTTCATGTTAACGGAGAATAATGAGTTATAGTAACAAACGTAACTCCAATTCTCAAATTACATAGGAACATTTACAAGTCATTACAAAAAAATAGCAACTCTATATCATCGAATAAAGGGAAAACCAGTGCACATTAATTGCATAGAACTTAGATAATTAACAAATCTTTCGTTGGTATCTTCTGTGAATTTTAAACGCAAATGCCATCGACATCGGCCAAGTTTCCTCCAATCTCCGACCATTTTTTTGGCGTCAACTCAACGATATTTTTTACCCCAAATTCCCAGAAAACTGCGCGATTCTCAAGTTAACAGCTCGCTGACACGCCTCGAATTTTTTACCCCGAAACCGTGATAATTTACCCGATATTTTTTGCGATATGAACAATTTTTCTGAAATTCTCTCGTAACCTCGACTCGGCGTTCATTTTTATTGACAATGTGGAATCTGGACGTTTGTGGAGAGGTTGTCTTTTGTTGCTTATGATTTTGTGAGGACTTTATTAGCTCGTTGTTACTGGGGACTTATAAACGTTTTAATTTTGGGCTTCCAAAAAGAAATTTACAGTAAAAAAATATGATCCAATGTTCAATTTTCACTGCATTTTTGTTTTGGAATTGAATTTTTTTAGTTGAATTGCTATTTTCCGCAGGTTGTTAGAAAATTTGTCTTCAATGTATCATTTAAATAGAAACGCAGGCCAAGTACCGTGTTAGTCTTTATACGAATAATAATGTAGTTGTCTCTGCTGGCTACCCAATATAATTTTGTTTTAGTCGACTTTTCTACTGTTGTAAGATTTTAAATAAAGTAAGGTACTTGCTGAATTTTATATATGATTCAGCTATCAATAACATGTCAATGTTTATTAAGAACAAAACAATTAATTGAATTTGAGAATGAGGAGAAGGGAGGCAAAATTCGGCGACGAAGAAAAATGTGGCTAAAATTGAAAAAATGTTGTGACTAAAAGCCCACTCATTTTATTATTTTGAACCAAAAAATTGGAATTGTTTGTAATTACGGTGAAGGGAGTGGAGTGAAGGGAGCAGCATTGGTGGGGCGGTGGAGGGAGTGGAGTAAAGGGAGCAGCATTGGTGGGGGCGGTGGAGGGAGTGGAGTGAAGGGAGCAGCATTGGTGGGGGCGGTGAAGGGAGTGGAGTGAAGGGAGCAGCATTGGTGGGGCGGTGGAGGGAGTGGAGTGAAGGGAGCAGCATTGGTGGGTGCGGTGGAGGGAGTGCAATGAAGGGAGCAGCATTGGTGGGTGCGGTGGAGGGAGTGGAGAGAAGTAAGGAGGGTAAGGGGGGGCAGGGGGTCGCATTTATCAGATATCTATCGATCGTTTTTGTAGTGCCGTCAGTTGTGTTTTTTTGGCCAAAAAATCGGTCCCTTGATCAAATTTTGCCGACCGCTACTCGGCCTCGAAATCTCGACCTGAGCCTCGCAAAACCTGCTCAGCTGCTGGGTCCAGTGGAAAAATTATGAATTTTTTCACTAAATCAGTGGTTAAAAAACTGATAAAATGAAAATAGGGATGTAAGAAAATTCCATTTATTCATTGTAAGATGGATTTATTGCCAGCTGCACGTGGGCCGCAAAAAAAGTATTAATTTTTTCCGTTATATCATTGGTTAAAAGAAGTGATAAAATGAAAATAGGGAGATACGAAAAATTTAGGTATTCATTGAATGGTGGATTTGTTGTCAGCTGCACATGAACCATAAGAAAAATTATGAATTTTTTCACTATATCATTGGTTAAAAGAACTGATAAAACGAAAATAGGAAGATAAGAAAAATGTATTCATTCATTTTTCACTATATCAGTGGTTAAAAAACTGATAAAATGAAAATAGGCAGATAACAAAAATGTATTGATTAATTTTTTCACTATATCAGGGGCTAAGAGAACTAATAAAATGAAATTTGGGAGATAAGAAAAATTTATTTCTTCATTGTATGATAGATTTATTGTCAGGTGCTCATGGGCCATAAGAAAAATTATGAGTTTGTTTCGGAATGTCAATGAGCTGATACATGAAAATGTTTTCATCTGATTGATTATTACTATTATTTTGATATAATCAAAATGGAAGCAATTGACAACCTGAGACTCGTGAGGTTTTTGGACGTGAAATTATTTTTAAAGTTTACTAAATTTTGTGAAAATACTTAAAATAAATAATTAGTGATATAATTGGTTCAGCACGACAAAGCACGGCAAGAAAAATTGCCTCTGAATTATTTAGGTTTCTGGATAATTAAAATAAACAATCAATAAATTTGGTGACTCGATGACAGAGGTAATATCCATATAGATTTTGTTACATTTCTATTTTACTTTCTAATATTATTTTTTCACAATTGTCATTAACAATATTAATAATTATATTAATAGTAATTATAATAATATTATTATTCACTTTTTGCTATTATTATCATAGTAAATACTCTTATTATCATTATCGTTATTTGATATATATTTAATTAATGTTCAACTCTATTACCCTCAGGTTGCGTGGGTACAGGTCGACACGCAGACTATCCTAACCATCCACAAGCAAGTGATCACCCGCAACCCCAGGATATCGCTCCTACACGACGATCACAAGTCCTGGCACCTCAAGATAGAGAATGTCCAGGAGAAGGATCGAGGATATTACATGTGTCAAGTCAACACGGATCCTATGAGGTTCAGGCAGGGATACCTAGATGTTGTTGGTGAGTTAATTACGTGTAATAATTAGATTAATTACTTTGAAGTTCCGTCAGGGATACCTAGATGTTGTGGGTGAGTTAATTAGGGGTAATAACTTTATTTCATAGCAAATACATCTAACTAGATTATATCCTGCCTCTATGGGTGATGAATTGAGTTATAAAATAACTCCGATCTGTACTACCAAATGCTTTACAAACTTTAAATAGAGCCGTAAACGTTAGTACTAATAACAGTTATTTGCGTGTCAAATATTTAACTATTCCCTTGAATTACCTAAATCTCGATTATTTTACTGCAAGTTATAATTTTAATATATGAATGCTAGTTACTTCACCAGATTAAAAATATATTTTTAGAGTCATATCCATTACCTTAACTATTGTATGGCGGCGTAACTTATATTTCAGTTCCCCTGACATCCTGGATCTGGGGGCGTAACTTATATTTCAGTTCCCCCTGACATCCTGGATCTGGTGGCGTGACTTATATTTCAGTTCCCCTGACATCCTGGATCTGGGGCGTAACTTATATTTCAGTTCCCCCTGACATCCTGGATCTGGGGCGTAACTTATATTTCAGTTCCCCCTGACATCCTGGATCTGGTGGCGTGACTTATATTTCAGTTCCCCTGACATCCTGGATCTGGGGCGTAACTTATATTTCAGTTCCCCCTGACATCCTGGACCTTGTGGCGTACTTTATATTTCAGTTCCCCCTGACATCCTGGGCCTATACTTTCAAAAAAAGTTAAGAGATCGTAAGTTCGTCAGTCAATCATTGACGGCTTTTCAAGCAAAATCCACCAGTCATAGACAAGAAAATAGAGCGTAAGTACTTACGTTCACTTACCCAGTTTTGAAAGTATGGCCCCTGGACCTGGTGGCGTAACTTATATTTCAGTTCCCCCTGACATCCTGGATCTGGAGGCGTAACTTATATTTCAGTTCCCCCGACATCCTGGATCTGGTGGCGTAACTTATATTTCAGTTCCCCCCGACATCCTGGATCTGGTGGCATAACTTATATTTCAGTTCCCCTTGACATCCTGGACCTTGTGGCGTACTTTATATTTCAGTTTCCCCTGATATCCAGGGATATGTTGACGTGACTTATATTTCAGTTCCCCCTGACATCCTGGACCGCGAGTCATCAGGAGATCTGACGGTGCGGGAGGGCGATGACGTCACCCTTCAATGCAAGGCCAGAGGGCACCCCCACCCCACCATCACCTGGAGGCGGGAGGACGGCAATCCACTCCACCCACTGCCGGAGAACCCAGGTGAGTGGGATGAAGCAGCCAACTATTTATTTCATACTGATATAGGGTATTTTTTATAATCTTATAGCACTTTGCATAAGATTTATTTATCAAAATTTTCATCGTACCTATAAATCGTATTTTCCATCATACCCATACATCGTATTTTCCATCAAACACATACATCGTATTTTCCATCATACTCATACATCGTATTTTCCATCATACCTATACATCGTATTTTCCATCATACCTATACATCGTATTTTCCATCATACCTATACATCGTATTTTCCACCATACCCATATATCGTATATTCCATCATACCCATATATCGTATTTTCTATCATACCCATATATAGTATTTTTCATCATACCCCTATATCGTATTTTCTATCATACCCAAATATAGTATTTTTCATCATACCCATATATAGTATTCTCCACCGTATTCTTACCGTATTACCAGGCACAGAGGCCACCGAGGAGCTGCAGAAATACCCTAAATTTTCCACCGTATTACCAGGCACAGAGGCCACCATGGAGCTGCAGAAACCCCTATATTTCCCACCGTATTCTCGCCGTATCACCAGGCACAGAGGCCACCAAGGAGCTGCAGAAATACCCTAATTTTCCCACCGTATTCTCACCGTTTTCTCACCGTATTACCAGGCACAGAGGCCACCAAGGAGCTGCAGAAATACCCTAAATTTCCACCGTATTCTCACCGTATTACCAGGCACAGAAGCCACCAAGGAGCTGCAGAAATACCCTAAATTCTCACCGTATTCTCACCGTATTACCGGGCATAGAGGCCACCAAGGAGCTGCAGAAGTACCCTTATTTTCCCACCGTTTTCTCACCGTATTACCAGGCACAGAAGCCACCAAAGAGCTGCAGAAATACCCTAAATTTCCCACCGTATTCTCACCGTATTACCAGGCAAAGAGGCCACCAAGGACCTGCAGAAATACCCTAAAATTTCCACCGTATTCTTACCGTATTACCAGGCACAGAGGCAACCAAGGAGCTGCAGAAATACCCTTAATTTCCCACCGTATTCTCACCGCATTCTCACCGTATTCTCACCGTATTCTCACCGTATTACCAGGCACAGAGGCCACCGAGGAGCTGCAGAAATACCCTTAATTTCCCACCGTATTCTCACCGCATTCTCACCGTATTCTCACCGTATTCTCACCGTATTACCAGGCACAGAGGCCACCGAGGAGCTGCAGAAATACCCTTAATTTCCCACCGTATTCTCACCGCATTCTCACCGTATTCTCACCGTATTCTCACCGTATTACCAGGCACAGAGGCCACCGAGGAGCTGCAGAAATACCCTTAATTTCCCACCGTATTCTCACCGCATTCTCACCGTATTCTCACCGTATTCTCACCGTATTACCAGGCACAGAGGCCACCGAGGAGCTGCAGAAATACCCTTAATTTCCCACCGTATTCTCACCGCATTCTCACCGTATTCTCACCGTATTCTCACCGTATTACCAGGCACAGAGGCCACCGAGGAGCTGCAGAAATACCCTTAATTTCCCACCGTATTCTCACCGCATTCTCACCGTATTCTCACCGTATTCTCACCGTATTACCAGGCACAGAGGCCACCGAGGAGCTGCAGAAATACCCTTAATTTCCCACCGTATTCTCACCGCATTCTCACCGTATTCTCACCGTATTCTCACCGTATTACCAGGCACAGAGGCCACCGAGGAGCTGCAGAAATACCCTTAATTTCCCACCGTATTCTCACCGCATTCTCACCGTNGTGTGAGTGACCTGTGTGCTGTGTGAGTGGCCTGTGTGCTGTGTAAGTGGACAGTATACAGTGTGAGTGATCTGTGTACTGTGTGAGTGACCTTTGTGCTGTGTGAGTGACCTGTGTGCTGTGTGAGTGGTCAGTATACAGTGTGAGTGACCTGTGTGCTGTGTGAGTGACCTGTGTGCTGTGTGAGTGACCTGTGTGCTGTGTGAGTGGTCAGTATACAGTGTGAGTGACCTGTGTGCTGTGTGAGTGACCTGTGTACTGTGTGAGTGACCTGTGTGCTGTGTGAGTGATCTGTGTACAATGTGAGTGACCTGTGTACTGTGTGAGTGACCTGTGTGCTTTGTGAGTGGTCTGTGTACTGTGTGAGTGGTCCATGTACTGTGTGCGTGACCTGTGTACTGTGTGAGTGGCCTGTGTGCTGTGTGAGTGACCTGTGTGCTGTGTGAGTGACCTGTGTGCTGTGTGAGTGACCTGTGTGCTGTGTGAGTGACCTGTGTGCTGTGTGAGTGACCTGTGTGCTTTGTGAGTGGTCTGTGTACTGTGTGAGTGGCCTGTGTACTGTGTGAGTGGCCTGTGCACTGTGTGAGTGACCTGTGTGCTGTGTGAGTGACCTGTGTACTGTGTGAGTGACCTGTGTGCTGTGTGAGTGACCTGTGTGCTGTGTGAGTGGTCTGTGTACTGTGTGAGTGGCCTGTGTACTGTGTGAGTGGCCTGTGTACTGTGTGAGTTGCCTGTGTACTGGGTGAGTGGCCTGTGTACTGTGTAAGTGGCAAGATCAGTATACAGTGTGAGTGGCCTGTATACTGTGTGAGTGGCATCTATACAGTGTAAGTGGCAAGCTTACACTGTGAATATTCGAATCAGTGTTCGCAGTGATTCGAACACTGATGTGTTATGTTATTTTGGATCAGTAAACAACAGTCAGTGTCTCGTGTGTCTCGCGTTTAGTACATACCGATCATAATTTTTACGGATTTAATGCTGTGATTTCACGGAAATTGACGAATATTCGTTCCAGGACGAACGACGACTTCTGAAACGAAAGACTTTAAAATAAAATTTTTTTAAAGCTCACAAAATGACACACAGTGCGTGAAAAGAGCGGGCCTTTGCATTGAGCGTGCAAGCACACATCAAAAACTAACAAGTAACTGATATATAAGCTAAAAGCATTTAAAAGCTAAACTTCATTTCGTATCATTAAAAGGCAGTAACATATTGATTCTACTTAACAATTATGTTTCATAGAATACATACCTGTTCGTTGTGTTATGGCAGCTGTAATAAAACTCGCATTGGCATCTATTTCATGTTTTTTTTCAGTTTGTAAACATTGTTGGCAAAGTAGTGACTAGATATGAGCAGTAAATCGTGGATTTAAGCCCCAGCAAGCTGCGTCAATTCTGCCATGTCGCAGGCGGGGCTACGAAACTCCTGTTAACACGGTGATAGATCTTTGGATTTTAAAGTCATACATGAATAAATTAAATGGTTTAACCTATTGCTACCTGACGGCATCTTCCGGTACAAGGTTTTCTTGTACGAAAAGAATTGATGACGGAAAATGCATTCGTACCCAAAAGGTTAACCAGCTTCAACACATCGTATGACTGGATCTTGAAATTTGAACTTGAACCTATCAGATTTTTAATCCAGCTTCAACTCAACGGATGAGTGGGACTTGAGAATTAAACAAAAACCTATCATTATTCAACAAACTTTAATTCAACGTATGAATGGACCTTGAGAATTAAACTTGAACCGAACAGATTTTTTAAGCCAGCTTCAACTCAACGGATGAATGGATCTTAAGAATTAAACAAGAACCTATCAAATATTTAACGAACTTCAACTCAACGTATGAATGTACCTTGGGAATTAAATCTAAACCTAACGGATTTTTAAGCCAGCTTCAACTCAACGGATTAGTGGAACTTAAGAATTAAACAATCCCCTATCAAACATTTAACGAAGTTAGACACATCGGATGAATGGATATCGGAACTTAAACTTGAACCTGTCAGATTTTATAATCAGCTTCAACTCAACGGCTGAGTGAAACTTAAGATTTAGAAAAGAACCTATCAAATATTTACGAACTTCAACTCAAGGTATGAATGGATCTCGAAATTTAAACTTTAACCCATCAGACTTTTTAACCAGCTCCAACTCAATGGATTAGTGGATCTTAAGATATAAACAAAAACTTATCAAATATTCAACGAATTTCAACTCAACGTATGAATGGATCTTGAGAATTGAACTTGAACCTATCAGATTTTTTACCCAGGTTCAACACAACGGCTGATTGGAACTTAAGAATTAAACAAAACCCTATATCATATTTAACGAATTTCAACTCAAAGTAATAATAAAAATAATAGTAAAAATAATAATGATAATAATAATAATAATGATGATAATAATAATAATAATAGTATTAATAATAATAATAATAATAAAAATAATAATAATAACAATAATATTAATAATAATAATGATAATAACAATAATAACAATTTTCCCCTTCCCCCTCGCAGTCCCCCCGATGACGTGGGTCCCCCACCAGCTGGAGGGGGCGTACGTGGGGCAGGAGCTGACGATAGAGTGCCACACCGAGGCGAGCCCCAAGTCTATCAACTACTGGACCAATGGCAACGGCGAAATGATCATATCAGGTATTATTGCGATTTTACAGCTTACTATACTATTTATTATCGTACTGTCGTATTTCAATCATACTATCGTATTTCTCTTTATACTATCGTATATATAATCATATTATCGTATTTATCTTCATACTATCGTATTTATCATCATATTATCGTATTTATCTTCATACTTTCGTTTTTATCATCACACTATCGTATTTCTCTTTACACTATCGTATTTTCCATCATACTATCTTATTTATCATCATACTATCGTATTTCTCTGTATACTATCGTATTCATCTTCACACTATCGTATTTCTCTTTATATTATCGTATTTCTCTTTATACTATCATATTTATCTTCACACTATCGTATTTCTCTTTATACTATCGTATTTATCTTCACACTATCGTATATCTCGTATTTTCCATCATACTATTGTATTTGCCATCATACTATCGTATTTTCCATCATACTCTCATATTTTCCATCATACTATCGTATTTTCCATCATACTCTCATATTTTCCATCATACTATCGTATTTTCCATCATATTCTCGTATTTTCCATCATACTCTCATATTTTCCATGATAACATCGCACTTTCCGCCACGCTGTCATATTTTTCGTCATACAATTGTGTTTTCAATCAGTCTTTCGCAGTTACATCACACTATTGTATTTACATGAAACTATCGTGTTTTCCATCATACTTTCGTAATTTGTAGCATAGGTACTATCGTACTTTCCAAAATAATATCGTAGCTTACATCAGACTATCGTACTTCCCGTCCTACTATCGTATTTTTCATCATACTATCTTATTTCCATCAAACTCATTCATCATGTTTTTATCATGTCCACACCCTCACCACAGGCACTAGCCACGAAGGAATGACAAATTTGAGGTCATAATTTCAAAACAAAAAATACAGTGATTCTTGATTTAAGTAAATTATCATTTAATTGCCCAGTGGCCTTAGTGAAAAAATTTATATCAGGCGGCTCATGAAACAAGACGTTTGGATAATTAGAATTCAAGAGGCAATGCGTTATTTATTGTTTCAGAAAGACTACTTCCATATATGTACTAATGGATTTTTGATTATAAATAAACTATGATAAAAGGTGACACACCGAACTGAAGGCATTAAGTATTATTAATTGAATTGTATAAAGTCTTTGTTGATCTTCAAAAGTAATCCTAAACACACCGATCGACCTCTGGACAAATGATCAGAGTAGTATGACTACTTTATTTAGGCTTTATCGTAATCCTTGAATTGTAATTAAATGTGCGAAATGCACAAGGCGAGTTAATTACACGTTTTAATCTATGGATTGTTATAATTATTTTCATTAATTAGAAAAAGTTCATTACTTGATAAAACCCAAATATTTTTGTATAAGTCCTCGGCAAAGATATACTAACAATTTTACTAGATCATGCTAACAACCTGTGGTAAGGCAAGGACGAAATAGTTTGTGAGCTATGAAAGAAACGGTAAAATTTGTAATAATGTGTGACCAGCTTGATCACATTAGTTATAATAATGTTTCATTATTTATGAACATTTATTGAAGGGCTTCTATGCTCTGAAATTAAAAATTCGCCAAGAAAGAACATCATTAAATGGTTACCAAGTCCAACACCTATCATCAACACTCATTTCTAGAGTATAATTAAAACCAATCTGTACAATTTTGGGTAGAGAATTTTTGTTCGAATTCTTGCACTAATTAATCCTTAATTTGCATATTTACTAGACTCCTGCGTCTCGAAATAATTTTCTCGAAATGAACCGGGACAGACGAAACGAGACGAGAAAATTCCGGGAAAAAAATAACGGGACAGAGGGTAAAATTTGTCCCGGAATAAACGTATGAACCGAGACAAGACTT